ATCAACAAAGTATTTTACCATTGTGAACACATGCTAGCACAACATTAATAGGAACTCATAGCTCACTGTAACCGTCTGGATATTCAAACATTCACTATCAAAAATTACCATTTGTCCGACATACCCAATTTCGTGGGGCAAATGAACTTACACGACGGAAAAAAAAATTGATCGATTAAAAGCGATCAACATTTGAAGTTTTTTCAAAGGCTTTAGGCGACAAAAACAATTTCAATGGACAAAGTAACTGTTAGGTTGATATTTTACGTATATTTTTTAACTCCTTACTTATTATTTAACAACTGGACTGCTGCTACGTGAGATTTGTGCTGGAATTTGGGCCTTAGCAAGTTAGTCCAATTTGTGTTTATCAGTTGGCCCATTATAACTAAAAAGTGGCGGCTGGACTTCTCTTACAAGGAAAAGGGTTTTAATTCATTATTGGATGTAGACAAAGAAAGAAAAGAGGAAGCATATACAATTTAAGTTGCTGCATAATTTAAGCATATTTTTCATCTTGAGTAATTGTTATTGTGCGTTATTGTTATTAAATAGATGGGCATTATTTGTGTTAAAAACTAAATTGTGACTGCTAAGTTGAGTTTAGGGGATTGTTTCTCATAACAATTACCATGAATTACATAGTTGAGTAGATATATTAGTTATGATTTGTGCAATTTCGTATAATTATCTATTAAGCATAAAGGGTTTCGATTATCTATATATGTGGCTAGATATAGCATGGGTTGATAGTTAGAAACACATTTAGTATATTTTGATAGGAAATATTGATGAATCAAGGGATAATTGCTAGCAACATGGAAATAATTTGATGTTAATATGAAGAATGGAGTTAGATGGGATTGAGAACGAGTAACTTGAAATCCTAGTGTTTCCATGTATTAATCTTTCATAATTCATTCAGTTTGTTTCTTGTTTGATCAATCGTTATTTTCAAGCATTTCGTTTGTTTTGCATATTCAAATTTTTCAACGAAGGTCTTGTTTTATTTAATTTTAGTTTAAAGTTAATCGCATAAGTAAGATTAGGTTAGTTTGATCATTGTTAGAACGACATTCGAATTATCATTATATTACTGAGCCATAATATTTGTGACAGCCCTTCCCGAAAATATCAAAAACGTATGTGTGAAAAGACTACTTTGCCCCTAGTTCGCTTCTTTTACGTTTATTGGTTGTTTTGTGTGGTGTTGGCATGTGTTGGGCCACACACTCACACTCTCACTCTCCCTAACCCTCTGTCCCTTTCCCTGTGACTGTCCCGAGTTCCCTTTCCCTTCCTCTTCCTTCGTAAATGTACGGACACACACACAAGCACACTAAACACTCACGGATCGAAGGAACTAAACCCATATTCGAGCTCGTGAGGCTGGGAGGAGTCCAGTCGTACCATTTTCAGGTAAGAACTCCATCGTTTTCACGTCGATTTCACGAAGTCCGATTTGGGGTACTATTCATGCACACGTGATTTCTCACATTTTAGGGAAAATGAAGCTTGTAGGTAGCTTGGTAAGGTCCCAAGGAGTCTCGGAGTAGTTCGTTTGAAGGAATTGGACGTCGGGATCGCCGTATTCGAAGTTGGCCGGAATTGGAGTGTGGTGACAGGTGAGATCTCGTGGTTTTAACCCTTAAAAGTGGTATATTCGTGTTCTCCTAGGTCTAAGCTTCAAATTGGTAGTAATTTTGTCAAATTTGGGTGAAAAACGAACGAGATATCAACGTTTGAAATTTTTCCAATTTTCCGACGCCGACGACGGCGCGGGAGGTTCGCCGGAGAAGGAGACGGAATATTCCGTCAGACTTGCGGAATATTCCTGACGCCGTTAACGGAATCCGTTATAACTAACGGAATATTCCTAACGTCGTCAGTTGACGCCGTCAGCGTGCCAGGCACGTGCCTTCGCGTGGGGGCGCGTGCGGCAGTGAAAAATTATTCTAAAAATTTGGGTGTGATCCTGAGGTTGTGTAGAGCACGTTGGTATATTCATTTGTCCAATTTGAGCAATGTATGAGAAGTTGTTACGAGAAGTTGGTTATGTGCTTTAAAATTAACGTTTTTATAATTGTTTCGCATATAGGTGATACGTATCCCGAGGACGAGCGTGGTCACTCGAGGCAGGGGGGCTACGACCCTTCCACATACCAGTGAGTGGGTTTTTGGTTTTCCGTATATACCTATATACTTATATTTTCCCAGAAATTGATTTGAATTGTCATTTGCCATATGCCATACATTAGATTATCGTTATTTATGCATCATTGGCTACGTTATTAGTTGCATACATATACATATGCATATTGGGTGCTGTGGACGCACAGGTAAGTGCCAGGTAAGTGTTATTCATGTTTACTTTCAGTAGTGATTCGAGATACTTAGAGAGCTCATAACCTGCACCCCCGATGTTAGTGCTCCCGCCCAGAGTAGGGCACAATCCTTCACGTGATGTTCACCTCCCGCACCACACGCTCAGCTTGGATCCAAGTTAGGTGCACAGTCCTGTCGTACAGACCACATTAGGTGGTTCCGACTCGTAGGTGACCCGCGATTATTTGCACAGCCTTCACGTGATCGTAGCACTAGAGCGTTTATATATGTTATACCCAGGCCTGTCGTATAGACCACTTTAGGTGGTTCCGACTTGTGGGCAGGTTCAGTTATTGAGTTTGAGATTTGAGCTCTACATGCAGCCGTACAGGTCACGTTAGGTGACTCTGGCTGCCAGATTATATGTTATTGTTATGATTTATACCTGAGCACTTACATTTCATTCTGAGATTTCGACATGGCATATTCTTGAGCATGTTTGGCATATCTATACATACGTATATGTGTTTATTCTCTGGGAAGTATACAGGTTCTACGGCGAGGGGTTAGAATGTATTTTACTAAATGGTTTTCGAAAAGCTTTGTTTTTGCCCACTCACACTTTTGTTTTGCGCCCCTCCAAGTTCTAGTTGTCTAGCAGGTTCGGTGGTTTCCCTGAGGGCTTTCCCGGCATTTCTGACAGACGATCACCAGCGTAGGGTCACCTTCGGGTGTACTGTTTTCATATCATTTTCTTTTGGACTGCTGTAGACTTATTGCTCTGAACTTAGCGTCCCACTTACGCTAGCACTTTTTTTATCACCTTATGTTGCTAGTTTTTAATTATTCATACTTTTTATATTACTATTTTATTAGCTTCCACACGTGCACATGGTTACGTCACCTCCGCGTGGTGGCCAGCACGCCCTGATCTCGGTCGGGGTGTGTCAATATTCACTTGCAATTATTATCTAACTATATAAAGGCGGGCGTAGATCTATGAATAGGAGATGTTGTGCAAGTAAGCTAAGTCAGTCTGGATCTAAACAAAGTAGCTTTCTAACTTAGTGCTTGTGCTAAGCTCATTATCACAAGAAGTTTTGGGCGCCGCTGTCTTGGATCGAGTTTATTTAATTTAGTTTTGTGATATTTTTATTTATTTTCATTTATTTATTTGTTTATTTTTTTAGGATCATTCTCACTCTTTTTCAATTTTTTTCTTGAAGGTGAATGCTTGGTATGCGTTTACGCCCCAAACTCGGGGTTGGTGGAAAAAAAAAAAAAAAATCCCACGCTTGGTGCGAGAGCAAAAATAAAAATAAATACGGAAAACAAATTGTAGACATCGAAATTTCAAATCTTTCGTGTTCACACAAATTTCTCTTACAAAAATAGCTCCAAAATCCTAACAGGGTGTACAAAATAGTAAAACTCTTAAATCTCTTGTCTAATACAATCTCAGCTCATCAATCACCTGTCTTGCCAAATGACTCATTTGTAAAATAAAAGGTGAGGGGTGAGCAACAACTACCATTGCTCAATGAGTAGAATATATAATATGCCAGTCAAGCGATGTCGTTTTACACACTCTAGAAAATACAATAATAATATCAAAGCTTTAGCCACGTAGTGCCCTATCATATCATCCCTTTATGTGTTCATTATATCCTTCATAAATTGTAACTCACCACGTGACCCCTAATGGCCAGTCTACCCTAATGTCACCGTGTGCAGTTTACATTTATCTCTCGGATTAATGCACACCCTTAAACCCTAGCTCTCCCTGTTTCTCTTATGTATAAAATCTACGTAAACTGCATGCACTGCGTTCTTACATATTTGATGATTACCTATTTTCCCACACAAGAGGTGTCGACATAAGGTAATAAAAGGCTTTAAAACATTACACCTCTTGCTTAACTCTACCACCTTATGCTAAATCAAGCTTAGTCATTAAGTGAGTAGTCCAAATGCATGAAAGTGTAACCACCAACTGACAAGTAGCTTCGTAGACTTTCCACCTCTAGCTTTAGTGAAGTCAACTTATGCTAAGCTATAAATCTTAGTCATGCAATAGTAAGCATGAATCAAATGCATGCTACATGCATAACATCCAAGATGGTTAAAATATACTAAGCTTTTATAGTTTATTCTAATCTCTAAATAAAATATAAAAATATGGGATCTCACAGTTCGTCGGATTGTGTACTACTTGAGTTTGAACCGAAAATTGAGAAAAGACTTTGTGAAATCCGCAAGGAACAAAAGGAAAATAGTGAGACAGAAAACAGATAAGAGAACAAGATGATGTTAGTTCATAATGAAACAATAGGCGACCTTGATATCCAACCATTCCAAAATCACCATCAAGCATTGTTCTCTTTGCTATCGCCTGAAATTACGAGTTGAAGAATATTCGTTTTGATATGATGCATTCTTTCATGGAATGAGTACTGAAGACCCATTGGCTTATATTAGAGATATCTTCAAAATGGTGTCCAACATGGCATTGTCAGAAGGAGTCACCGAGGAACTTCTTGATGAAGGTCTTTCGATACATTGTGAAAGACAAAGCGAAGACATGATTGAATTCCTTGAGGCTTGGAACCTTGATGAGTTAAATTGACATTTAGACTAAATTCTTGTAGAAATTCTTTTTGACTCAGAAGACCTATACATTGAGTGATAATATCATGCAATTCACTCAATAGGTAGATGAGACATTTTTTGAGGCATGGGAGGGATTAAATAATATGAAAATTCAGTGTCCGCACTATAGTTTGCATACTCTTGTTCTCATGCAGATATTTTATAAAGGATTAACAATTTCAAGCAAAGCTATAGTGAACAACTATGCAGGGGGATAAATTAAGAATAAGACGCCAGCTGAATGTTAAGCATTTTTTTATACTCTAGCACTTAAAATGTAACATCTTGAAGCAAGAGGAAAGCGTGTTGGAATTTTTTTAGATTAACGATTCAAATGCTAATGTTTTTGCTTCAAAGGCTCAAGTCGATACGATTGCTAGTAAACTTGAAACTTTTCTTTATATGAACAGGAGAGCACCAGTTCAAGAGATTTGTTCCATATGTGCCATTCCTAGTCATGCCACAGTTGTTTGTCCGTATGGAGTTGATTTTCTGGAATTTGTTCAAGAGCAAGCGAACATGGTGAATGCACACAGACAGTCAGGTAATGATCTAGAATGCACATAGACGTTCGAGTAATGATCCATACTCAGATACTTATAACCAAAGATGGAGAAATCACTCTAATATCTCATGAAACAACAATCAGAATGTGCAAAAGCCAACACTGGTTTTACAACCTCAAGAGAAGAAGAATAATTTGGAAGATATCATGCTCAACTTGCCGGTGACGTAAACATTCTTTCATTCCATACAAATTAGTTTATGAGTAAAATTGAGACAACTCTTCAGAACCAGGCTACTTTGATAAAAAAATTTGGAGGTTCAAATGGGCTAGCTAGCTTATACATTGACTGTTAGGGAAAAATGTTATTTTCCAAGCAAAATTGTAGTTAATCTGAGAAGCCAAGAGCAAGCAAAAGCAATAACTTTTCTGAAAGGAAAACATGTGAAGGCTGGAGCAAATTTGGTACCAAATTTTGAGGAGGAAGAGGTCCAAGGGCGACCCTGAGAGTAGCTAAAGTAGGCGCCCGCATAAGGCCCTCTCTTTGGAGGGGCTCTAATATATATACCCTATTTGTCAACCAAAAGAGGGTGAAAAGACAAATTAGTCTTCTATCACACAAAAAAATGATGGGCAATAATGCAATTAAATTTTACTGTTTTATTTTTTTTGAAGCCTCACTTATAGGAGATGTTAAAATACCTCTAATATTAAAAAAAAAAAAAAAAAAAAACCAAAAACAAAAACCTCCCACTCCCTCCACGTTCTCTCTCCCTCTCTCTCCCCTTCTCATTTTTAAAAAAAATGTGTTCATACACACAAAGTGTGTATGTCACAACCTGGCCCGAGCCCCCACCACATCTTGGGCTCGACTCCATCGTAGCACGATATTGTCCACTTTAGGCCCCGACCACGCCTTCACCGTTTTGTTTCTGGGAACTTACACGAGAACTTCCCAGTAGGTCACCTATCTTGGGAATGCTCTCGCACGAACTCGCTTAACTTCAGAGTTCCAACGGAACTCGAAGCCAGTGAGCTCTCAAAAAGCCTCTTGCTAGGTAGAGATGGGAATATACATATGTTGACCCTAAAAATTACAAAACCTACGTGGCGCGCAGGCCGAGTAACTAATAAGCTAACTATGTCCTTCGGTCGAATGCGGGGCGTGCCAACTCGTCGGCCAAGCTCGGCCGAGGAGTAAAATTTGTTGATGTTGCGTTGAGCGCGTCGCTGACTTCTTTAACTTGCGATTGCGACCGAGGAAGGAACACTCTCGGTCTCTGGGTTCTACAGCCTGAAGACAAGGCTGCTAATTCTGCGGAGTTCACAAATCGTCCGAGCCCGATTCGGTCACTGTGATTATATTCGTGAGAGTATAAGCACGTCGAATCGAGACCAAGGTGTATGGGCACAGGTACTCGAACGTGATGTATGTCTTGATGGTAAACGTAGTTCGGCCGTCGGAATGCCGAACCCTGAAACTCACTTGTGAGTATCCAATCATAAAACCACTCGGCGACCAGTACGCCGAGCAATGTAATTCGTAACACCTAACTATGCCGAGAAGGCTAGCAAGGTGACCTCTGCCAACAAAGGTTCGAAAACCTTTCTCGACCGAGACTTGGATAGATAATCGGTCGACCTCCACGCAGTGCTGTTTATCCAAACTGAAGATGCTTCTCGGTCGGCTGATTCTGCGGCAGCAGTGCTGTTTATCCAAACTGAAGGTGCTCGCCGGGCGCTTCCACAGTGCTGTTTATCCAAACTGAAGGTGTGTCGGCAGGAAAAGAAAAGGAAAAAATCTCAAGGTGTTGAGAGGTTTTGCGCAGGGCAATTGTATGCTGATTTGAAGGTCCTTTCTGTTTGCATGATTTCTTGTATTTATAGTGCCTCATTCCTTGAAACCGACTCCGATTTGGATTGGGAGTCCTTGTCCCATTTCGCTTCTTCCTCGAACAAACCTACTCCTACTGGGATTCTGAATTTTCCTTCTTTTCGGGACTTCATTCCTTGCTGGTCGAGAATCCTAGTTGCACCAGGACTTCCTCGACCTTTCTATTTATCTGGACTACTTATGATAGGATTTGGCCGACCCTGTTAGCTGGCCCGGGCCCTATTATTCGGCCCATAGTATTTATCATCTCCTTGGGCCGAGCACATCCTGCTGCTCGGCCCAGCAATAATATTTTGGGCCCAAACATTGCCCCCTCGCTTCTGAGGTCGCCGACCGTTAACTCTTGGTCGGGCCTCGACCTTGAAGAAGCGAAAACGTTTATTGCTTTTTTGAACTTTACTTAATGACCGTTATTCCTGCGCATTTATGAGGCATGATTGCACTTTCCTTATTGCCCCCAAAGCATGGCCACGTGTCGATTCTCCACCGCTCTTAAAACTTTCAATCGTGGGCCTCGAAACCGTGCACTAACTGGAACGTCTTATCCTCATTAATGCCTTAAAACTGGCGTCGCACGCAATCGTGCGTCCTGGATTTTCGACTCCACGATCCCCTCTTCGCAGGTTCCCAAAATATCCGAAATGATTGAGCCTTTCCTGGTTAAATTTCCCTCCAATTTGAACCAGTGCTTTTCGAATCCCAGACGTTTGATATTCATCCTGAAAGGCCTATAAATACCCATATTTCTGCCATTCGCCTTTTACGCTTTCAGAAATTCTAAAATCTCAATTTCCTCATCCTTGTTCGTTCAAATCAAACCTTCCAGTTCTTCCTTCTGCAATACCTTCTTTTTCCAGAAACATCTCTTCTCCACAAATGGCCTCCTTCATTTCAAAGCTCTCTGATGAGATCAACAAGTGCAAGGATTTCATCGATCCGAGCGCCGTCAAGACGCTACGATTTGAAGAAGACATGGCCACCACCCACCAAATTCTGGGTCCCCTCTTCAGAGACGTAGTGCCGTCGTCTGTCACTAACCTGCTCAAGGAGCAGTGCTTAACACCCCTGCTGCAGGGGTTCGACTGGTCGAAATGGACTCTGGCGCGGCCTCAGGGAGCCTGGCCCTCGACTACTACGGCTTGGGCTGCCTGGGTCGACCGAATGAGCACCTTCTTCTCTAAGAGGCTCTCGGTATCTATGATGCCATTATTCTATCAACCATGGAGATTGCCATGGATAAGGAGTTGCTCCTGGCGGCCCTGAGTTTATGGTGTTCGGCCACCAACACCATGGTCATGCCTTTCGGCCCCCTCGGCCCCACTATCCTCGACATTTCGGCCATCCTTGGGACTTCCCTGGCCGGCCTTCCTATTGACGCCGCCCTTTCCGGATACCCTTCTCCTCTTGACCTGAAGGCACTATTCGAAGAAAGGGCCGTCGAGACGCTAAGCCGGGGCGATCGGGAGCCTTCAAGGGAAGAAGTTCAGAAGCTCCACAAGAACTTCTTCAACTACAACACGCTCATCCTTCATTTCGCCGGCCGAGGTGAGGAAGGCCTTAGGAAGGGAGAGCACGAGGCCTTCCTCTTCTACTGGTATAACAAGTTCATCTGTTGTACCAGGTCAAACAAGTGCCTGGTGGAGAACATGCCGGTGGCCCAGGCACTGGCTAATGGTCGCTTGCTGGCGCTCAGTCCAGCCATACTCGCCAACCTCTACCGTTGCCTGGCTGAGGCGACCATTGGCAAAATTGACCCGTACCAGAACGGACCCCTCTGGGTGTTCCAACTCTGGTTGCAGGTCTACTTCTCCACCCTTCGACAGGAGGTTCCTGCCTTTGAACGAACGGCCGCCCTCGGCCTTCAACTGGCTTCTCGACCGGCACCACCTCACCGAGCCGATGAGGTCTTTAAACACTTCCTCAGCCTCGACGTCCTCTCGGATGATGAGTTCCTGGTGTGCCGGCGCCAGGAATACCCTTCCTCGCTCAGGCTTGCCACGGCAGCATGGGCCGAGTACGAGGATGCGGACATCCGTCGGTGCTGGGGGTCGTTTGTTCTGGCCCGCGACCTTCCTTTGGGTTGCGATGCCCGCCGAGCCGGCTGGGAGGTCTATCACCCCCACTTCCTCGCCCGGCAGCTCGGCTATCTTCAAGGCTGTCCCGTCCCTCTGCTTGCCTCTCGGTCTCTCCTGAGTCGGGGGCGTCTTACCGGTTCCTCCGAAAGGGAATGTAAGACGTCGGACCAGGAGTTCCAGGAGAAATGCAGGAAGTTTCGGCTTCGGCCGACGGTTCCTGAATCTCTGGGAACCGATACCTTCGGGGACTGGTGGGAGGAGTATACCGGCGACTTCTTTGGCGCCCCGGCCGAAGATCTGGTGAGGAAGATCTTTGGCGACCGTCCCAGGTCAACATCCTCGACTCAACCCAAGGAGTCAGCCCAAGGTATTCTCTCCGTTTTTCTTCTCTTTTTTTTTTTTATTTTTTTTTTTTATGTTACTAATTACCTTGCTCTTCAGGGGGTCGTGGGTCGAGGACGGTCGAAGTGGTCGCCGCGGTAGCAAGGACGAAGAAGCTGATGCCCAAGAAGAGGACCCTTGTCACTGAGCGCACGGTCCCTTCCAAACGCCCCCACCGAGAGGACGAGCCGGCGGAGGAGGCCCATCGTCCTTCTAAACGCGTCAAGAAATTGGCGAAGAAGGGCGACCGAGAAATTCATGTCGTCCCCAGTGACACT